GGCGTCGGCGTCGACCTCCGCCTTCTCGGCCGCGGGACCACCCGACACTGGGGTAGGCGCCTCGGCTGGCGGGGCTGCGGCGTCACCTGCTCCGCCCTGGTGCATAGCGCCGTCCTCGCCCTTGCGCTTCTTCGCCATGCGCTCCTTCACCGATGCCTGCAACTTCTCCATCTTGATCTTCCATGCCAAGACCTGCTCGCCTCGGTCGCCAATGAGGGACCGCCTCGAGCTTGAGCAGCTCGGCCTTCTCGCCCTCCTCGCACTCGAACTCGCCACTGCGAAGCGAGGCAAAGAAGCCCTCGTCCCACGAGACGTCGAACTGCATCCCCTTGGAGCCTGCGCTGGCCGCGGCCGCACCAGCGGCCGCGGTGCCTCCTGCGGACGCGTGGCCGCCACCTGCCAGCGGTGCCGTGAGCCCCGCCTCCGCAGCCAGGGCTCGCACCGCAATCCGCTTGGCGATCTCCGCCTCCGCCAGCTGCTTGACCGTCTCCTCTTCGCGCTCCACCGCTCGCTGCAATTGCTCCTTGGCCTTCCGAACCGCGTCCGATGCCTGATCATGTCGCCTGTTGGCCTCGCGCCATGCAGCTTCAGCCCTCCTATGCGCCTCTCCTGTCGAGAGTGCGGTGGCAGGCTTCGCCGCGGCCGCGGCCTGCACCTGCTGCGCCTCTGCCTGCAGGGCCGCCTTCAGGTGCGGGTTGGTCGTGACCTCAAGCGCCTTCAACAGAATGTCACTCGGGGCAGCACTAGGGTTGAGCGAAAGAGACAAGTCTGGAGCCTGTCCCTTCCCCCCGCCCTTCTTGGGCTTATGCAGAGCCAGCTGGACCCCGCACTTGCAGCGACGATCACGTTGAAGCAGCAGCGAATTCCACTCACACGCACCGCACTTCTGGCACCTGGTGTACAGCTCGGACTGGCTCTTGTCACCACCCTTGCCCATGCCTGGGACAGCACTGCCGTGATGCACACGAAGCCGATGTGCGTGCACCGCCAGGCGGAGGGCAACTCGGGCAGTGGCCCTGTGTCGCCGCGCGCGCCTGTGCCACGCGGGCGAGCGAGATCGCGGCTGTTCGCTCGTCCGTCTGATGCGCCCCTCGGACGGGGCTGGGGTCGTGGTCGATCGGGCAATTGCCAAAATGGTTGCCTCGGACCACAACACCTATGAGGATGATGATGATGATGATGATGATGATGATGATGAGGAGGAGGAGGAGGAGGAGGAGGAG